TACAGGGGACAACTGGGATGAACCCCACAGTAGAAGAAAACAAGGACACAGAGCTCCCCATTCCCGCACCCAGATCGGGGTTGCGTGTGCAAGTCAATGCGTCCGCACCCAAAGGTGTGGGAAATCAGGAGCCGGCAGAAGGGGAGCAGCAGCATGCAGGGGCAGGGACTCGGAGAGTACTAGTTATTGGTAGCTCTAATGTCTCCAGGTGTGCCACAGGGGTAGCGAGCAGGGTGAGTGGAGACGATAGGGTGAAGGTGTTAGCCCACCCTGGAAAGTGCATGAGCGAAGTGATGGAGAGCGCAAAGGACATAGTGTGGGAAAATGAGCAGGGGAAAAACCTGGTGATCGTACACGCTGGACTAAACGATGTCCTCAATGGGAGGGGCCACAACTTGGGAAGGCAGATAGAGGCTGGGGTGAGGAAGCTTAGGGCTGTCTCTGAGCGGGTGCACATCTTAATGTGCACGATCCCGGAGGTGGAGAAACAGTCGGTAGCAACCGAGAAAAATGTTGTAGCAGCCAACCGAACTATCAGGCAACAGGGAGAGAAGCTGGGCTATGAGGTGCTGGAGGTGAACAAGGGAGTGTACCAAAGAGGGCCATCACCCCGATTCGAAAAAGATGGGATACACTATGGACAGCACACGGGGTGGCGTATCGGGGCTAAGATGGGAGACAGGGCAAGGGTTTTTTTGGACCCACCGAGGGCCCGAAGGTAGATGAGAACTCGGGCAAAACTTTGGTAAGGGGGGTGGGAGGGGGGGGCAGGAGGAAGCCTCGTAGGAAAAAGAAAAGAAAACAGCTAAATATAAGCTTTATCAACATGCAGGGGGGTAGAAACAGGCTAAAATGGGAAGAGATCGGGGAACAATTAGGGACAGAAAGTTCTACAGTCTATGGTGTCGCAGAAACACATCTTAGGGATGAGGAGGAACCGCCCCACATACCAGGTTATTCTTGGGTGAGTTGCAACCGGAGGGCAGGGGAAAGGAAAGGCGGAGGCCTAGGAGCGTTGGTAAAAGGACAGGACTGGGAAAGGGAGAGAGAAGACTGCAGGGAACATTTATGGCTGAAGGGTAGGGTAACAGGTCTGAACACTCTTCTGGGGTTTGCATACTTAAAAACAGGAAGTGACTCAAGGGAGGAAAATTCACAACACTTTGCATGTATTTCGAAGGACATTAGGGAAATTGGCCTTAATCAGGAAATAATTATCATGGGAGACATGAATGCCCACATAGAAGAGTTTGATGGATTCACAGATACAACCGGAAAAATGTTAGAAGATTTCTGTGATGCCCTGGACCTAGTGTTAGTTAATGCACAAGTAAAATGCGAAGGGAAAATAACGTGGGAACGAAACAACTCACACTCAACGATAGACTATTGCCTCATGTCCCACAAACTGTATGACAGGCTAGAAAGTATGGAAATAGATGAGGAAGGTACAAAAAGCTTAGGGAGTGACCACAAAAGAATTAAGATTAAATTCGGTACATCTGAACCTGAACAAGCCCAGGAACGAGCGGGTAAACAAAAACTAAGTGAAGCACAAATTCAAAAAGTATCTAAAAGTATTGAGGACGTAGTATCGAAACAACCAGAAAAAGAGTGGACATATGAGGATTTAATAGGAATCTTTAAGAGAGAATTAGAGAAGCATCGAATTAAACAAAGAGGAAAGCAAAACCAAAGACACAAACCAAAAAGCTGGTGGGATAAGGAGGTTAAAGCAGCCATATTGCGGCGCCAAGAGGCATCTAGGGAGCATAGGTGGGCAAAAAAAAGGGGAGCTCTGCCAGCTGAGGTAACATCAAAATGGGAGAGATTCCAAGAGCGGAAAAGGGAGGCATCAGCTTTAATACAGGCCAAAATTGGGAGGGCAGGAGTGCAGTGGATGATGGAAATAAATAAAAAAGATAAGAATGCGGCAAAAAGGTTTTGGGAGCACATTAAAGCACAGGGGAGAAAAACAGAGGATTTCCAACACTCGCTGACCACACAGGAGGGGAGAAGAGTGCAGGGGGAAGAGGCACAGGAATATATTAGACAGACAATCGAAAAGGCTTTCTCCCAGCTTGAGCAGAGGGGGACGGTGGATAGCACTGTCAGCAGCACTGTAGAGGAGGAGCAGAATTGTATAACAATGGAGACAAACACAAGAGAATGGGATAAGGCAGAAAGTAAGGTTCCAGCAGGTACAGCAACAGGCCCCGACAACATACCCATGGAACTCATAAAGACACTAGGAAAAACAAGCAAATTGAAGTTACGGCAGGTGATTAATCAAGCAATTATGAAAGGAGAAGTACCCAATGATTGGAAACTAAGTAGAATGAGACTAATATATAAAGGCAAAGGAAACAAAGACAGCATTAAGTCATATCGCCCGATAACGGTAACCTCAGTTCTTTACAGATTAGCTATGCAGATTGTAAAGCAGAAAATGCAGGAATGGGCGGAAGAAACGCAAATACTGGGTGAGCTTCAAAATGGATTCCGAAGAGATAGAAGACTGGAAGATAACTTATTCGTCACCACTCAATGTATAGAAATAGCAATCAAGAACCAAACTCCGTTGTGGTTAGCTTATTTGGACATCAAGGGAGCATACGATAATGTGAGCCAGGAAATACTTTGGGGTCGGCTGAAAGAGTATAATTTGGATGCAAATTTGGTTAGGTTTCTGCAGCAGGTGTACACAGACAATAAGGTAGTTATAACATGGGAAGCAGAAATTACACAACCCGCAGCAATAAAAAGAGGGCTCCGGCAGGGTTGTCCACTGTCGCCTCTGCTCTTCATGATATATCTCAGGGAAATGGAAAAGAAATTAGAGCAGAGCAACTTAGGTTTTGATGTGAGTTATATGGAAGGAGGGAGAAAGGTAAGCCAGGTAATACCAGGACTGATGTATGCGGACGACATATTACTTATGGCAGACAACCAGGATATGTTACAGGAACTAGCTGGCATGTGTGGAGAGGAAGGGGACATCTTGGGCATGAGCTTTAGTAGCGACAAATCTGGAGTAATGGTGTTTAATGATGAAAAGAGGGGACCCCTGCGGATACAAGACATTTTAATAGACCATGTAGAAAAATACAAATATCTGGGAGTCTGGTTCAATGAGGGAAAGAAATATCTAGAAGAACATGAGGAGAATATAATTAGAAAAGGGAAAAGAAATTCATCTATTATGAAGCTCAAGGCACTATGGAACTATAACAGATATGAAGTGGTCAGGGGTATATGGAAAGGAGTGATGGTACCTGGACTGTCTTTTGGCAATGGGGTGCTCTGCATGAAATCAGAGGTTCAATCAGGATTAGAAATTCGGCAAAGAAGCGTAGGCAGATTGGCACTGGGAGCACATGGAAACACACCAAATGAGGGAGTGCAGGGGGACATGGGCTGGTCGTCTTTTGAGAGCAGGGAAGCAATCAGTAAGTTGAAATTTGAACAAAGGTTGACTGAAATGGATGATACGAGATGGGCACGTAAGGTGTACAAGTATTTATACATGAAAAGCATAAACACAAAATGGACAAACCGAACCCGAAAGCTTACATTTAAATACCTACTCACTAATGATGGGGCTGAGCAGACTACTTCAGTGAAAAAGGGAGTGAAAGAGGCAGAGAGGAAAATGTGGGAGGGAAGAATGCAGGAAAAATCGACTCTAACGGTTTACAGGTCACAAAAACAGGACATACGAAAGGAAAATGTGTTTGACAACTCGCTGGGAAGTTCTTTACTTTTCGAGGCGAGAACGGGAGTTTTGAGGACGAAGACGTATAGGGCTAAATTTCAGGAGATAGACACATTATGCGCTGCATGCCGTGATGAGAGTGAGACACTTGAGCACCTAGTTTTAAGGTGCACGAGGCTTCGTCCTGCCCCCCCTGAGGGTGTGACGGGTTTGGCCGGTGCCCTGGGCTTTGCTGGCGACGATGGAAGGACGGAGGAGAAGAGGATCACAATAACAAAGAGGCGGTTAGAAGATTGGTGGAAATTATCTAGGGAAAATTGAATGATGCACAACTAACTAGCACAGCTGGGGACAGGCGGGACAGAGGAAAATTGGGACTCCCTCCCGCGTGGCTCAGGCCCAAAGTCTCAACCCTGTCCCCCAGTGGGTTGGGTGCAGGGGTAACGCCGACAAGGTTTGACCAGAGGAAAATTGGCGACTCCCTCGCCGGGGGGAAGAGGCGGGGGGTGATGTTTTTAGTTTTTTTGCCCGATCCCCCAAAGGTCAGCCTGGCGATATCCCGCACTACCTGGTGATAGTTAGGAGGGGGGGGAGAGAAAATTGGCTTAGAAGGGCGGGGGAATCAAATGTTTGTGTCTTTATTAGACGTAGGCTAGGTGGCGCAAGCTACCGCCCGATACAAAGGGTATAGCCAGTAGCATCCATCTAGCGATAGGTTGGGAAACCGAACTTTCCAGTCTATTTAAAGAGCCTGCAGTCTCCTTGAATCACCCGGTAGTTTCCGCGATTTCCGCGTTTCCGTGTCCATCAGCGCGCCGTTAAAGGGGTTATGACACGGAATATATAAAACATGAGATAACTATGGCTGAAGAACCCATTATGTGTTAGCATGCGTTTGCGATATTTTGTTTTGTAAACAGACCGCTAGTTTCAGAGATACAGTCGTTTTTATCACGGATCCTCGGCTCCCCCCAGTGGGTGGGTCTTGGCTGTTCGGAGGTCCGTGACGTAGCCAGCCTCTGCTGCACGTGCGCCCCTGGTAGCGCCGCGGCGCAACCGGCGGAGCTGGGGCAGCTGGGGCTGACCCGCTGCAAGCACTCCCAAACTGATCCTCTCCTCTGGCATCAGCTTTCGTCGTCTTCGCCTCCTGGCATTAGAGCCGATGGAGGCTCCGGCTTCACTCACTTCGTCGGACTCTTCAAATTCTGGCAATGCCTACGTCTTCGAGAGCGACCTCAGCAGTGACGCGAGCGATTACGAAGAAATTCCTGAAGTTGGTCATTTTGTATTCGACCCGCTGGCGACCAGCTCCAGCGACGACGACGATGAGAGCGTTGCGGAGGACGACGGCGATGTCGTCAGAGACGACGCTGAGGAGGCCGATAACGCTCAATGGCACGGTCTGGAGTGGTGAGTGTTTTAATATACTATTTTGTAATCAGTGCGAGCAAATCGGTGTTGCAAGGCCGCCCATGTCATCTGAGTGACGCGTTCACGAACGTGTGGGCATAGCAGCTCGTGCGACTGTTGACCTGTTGAATGCGCTCACCGTTGCCATTGCCATCTTAACACCGTCGTCAAGCTCTTGAAGAGTATGGGAAAACAGTGGGGGATTCCGTGACTATGATATCGGCAGGTCACCACTTATTCGCTCACAAGCTTTTGTCGCGGTGCGTTTTTCGCACACGCTCAGCTCGCGCTCTCAGCACGATGCCGCCCGTTGCCTGTCGTGACACTTATTTATATTTTCTGTTTTTGAGACCCCATGCCGATAGCGGTAGCCAAGCCGCACCGCCGCTTGAAGCTGGTGGAACGGAAGGTCGCACTGCAGAGCCCAGGATTCTTCCTAAGTTCAAATCCTAACGATCTGCGCGTCAACAACCGCAGTCTGCTGTGTATCGAGGCCGGAAAACCCCAGGCTAGTCGCCATATAATCGCAGACAAAAGTTGCGGTCTGAATATTGCTCGCACATTTGCTGAAACAGCGTCACGAATCATCCTTTGTAAATGTACTTCAGCCAAACTTGCGACTAGTGGGGAGAGCTGATACAAACATTTTCTCGGCGTAATGTCAGCTGCCCTTTATCCTTCGGGTGAGTATGTTTCCTCCAGTAAGTTGCAGCTATATGTTTGTTGTCACTTGTGTCAGTAACAAAATACTGATGCGCTTGGCAAAATTCGGTGTATTCCAGGTGCGGGTGTGGACTCTGTGAAGTGATGGGCTCAGCCACCGAGAATTTGTGTTGCCACAGCATCCAGAAAGTGCGAGAAAAAATCCCAACATCTGAAATATGCATCACTGTGCACCCTACATTTCTTGGGGGTGTTCTAAATCAACATGCAATTGAAATAGCGTATTTCAACTTAATGGAACATGAGCGGGAAGCCATCAACGCCCCAGATCTCCACAGGTAAGAACCAAAAACTTGTTTTGTTTCATCGTGTTCCTCTCACAGAGGGGCAAAATAACATGTGCTTTATTTTCTTTCTTTGCATAGGCGGTACAGGTTGACGGCCTATAATCAGTTTGTGCGGTGGGTTTGGCACAAGCTCGGACGCCACCACCGCAAGCCACTGCCAAGCTGCGTAGTCGTCAAGATCCGGGCAGCCTACCCATCTGAAACATATACGGGCTTCAGATATGTGGAGTACTAAATACTTATATTATGTTTATGCAGATAGTTTGAAGTCCTTCACTGAGAGGGAACTGTGTAAATATCTCTGTCTAACTTTAGAAATATAATTTACCCTGAGCGAGTGATTATGTGAGGGTGACCAACAAACAGGCCAAATTAAGCATTGTTGCTCACATTGTGAGCGGGCATACAAAAAAAGTTCCCCAATGCTTTACAAAAAATTTGCAATAGAGAAAACAATTTAGGAGAATACTTCGATCAGAGGATTAACTCTGGTAAAACGTGTTGCTATGGGCTACAACGAATTTCTTTTGTATCTTACAAGCAGTTGGATAGTTAGCTCTCAAGGAAGGCTGAATCTCTGGCGATGCTTCCTAACAAGTTCTTGGGTAGGAACATGTGGTTGGCTCTGGCTGAGTGGGGGAGGCACAGGACGTGATGTTGAGCAGTGGGCAGTCGGCTGCCGCTCTAACTGCAGGACCGTCTCCAACAACCGGTCAATGTAGTCTGAAAGATCAAACATGACGTCACAATCTGGCTTTGTGCTGATAACAGAATTAGAACAACAAGCTCCAAATGCTTGGGGTGCGCATGAAATGATTGAGCATGCGAGATTTTGAACCATATTTTGGACAAATGTTGTCTGCTGTATATTGTAGTAGAGGGCACATTTGCATTCTCCTACCTGAGAATTAAAAGCGGGAAATATACAAGTCAGATATTGCAGCTGCACGAGGTTTTGTTATTGTGCCCCGTATCCCCGAGCAGAAACTGTGCCTCACTGAATGTATTCAGCACAATGTTTAGAGATACGAGTCAAAAAGACCTAACTAGCATGTGCTCCAGTTGTACAGAAGCGCATGGAAATTGACAAAAAGAAAATATAGTGTATTCCCGTGCCAATGTCACTAAGATTATTAGTTTCAAGAGTTTCAACAGAAACATGCAATATGCTATAGTTCTTATACAAGTTAAGAATGAGCACAATAAATACAACAATGTACCAGCTAAGACAATGAGTTGCTCTGCAGACCACCCAAGAAGGGCTGTAGCCATGACGAGATATGTGATGTAAGTGTGACAGAGCTCGTTTTCTTCTTCTCCAATAAAAATGAACTTTGAAGAACAGAAAAGCTTTCAGCCTATCCACTCCGATGAAGAAGCAAGAGTAGCGGAGCTGTACTCTGTGCCACCATTTATGAGTGACGGCGACAACCGGCAAGCCAGTTGCCGCCGTTGCTTATAGATGGCGGTAGCTGTACAGAGGGTTGTCAAGATTTATTTGTCCACGGACACGAAACTGGGGAAACTAGACCTGAACAGCTCCACTGCAAAAAAGATTCAGGGGAAACAGCTGTACGCCACCCAAAACATGGAACATGCGCTGTTAAACAAAAATATCACATTCTTTATTAAGTCAAACTCTTGGAAATTTGAGGCACCTGTATATTTGCTGGTGCATCTTTTGTGCTCGTGTTTACTGAGGTGAACAAAAGCAAGAGACATCGGTCAGTCCTTTTATATCCTGTATCGTGTATTTGTGCCATTTCTTTTTCCTGCTAATACAATGTATTGACTCGCTCAGCTGCAAAGGTTGTCACAGCCTAAATAGCGGACTACTTGAGCATTGCGCAGAAACAATGGCCGGCGACAATGAGGACGTGGGAGGAGCTTCTGGGGTATTCTTAACCCATACCAGACTATAGCAGTCTGCAAGAGCATGGTATGCTGTGGCAACCTCGATGGTATCAACCTGCACAAGTATTGAAGCTTTGGCTAGTTAGTGGCAACACATAAACAGTGTGAAGACAATGGACAGTGAGGCAGCATCGTTTCCAGCAAGTCTTCTACTCTGTCCGTTGTGTTTGCTCTGTTTATCTGCCATTGAAGGCTTTCACAAAACAAGGGGGATAGCATGTTTGTCATGTTTCTTCCATTTGTTCTAAAAGAAAATGAATATATTCACTGTATGTGGCATCCTCCATGAGTTCTTGGACCACTGGTTCTCCACCTTGCGCCTTCGGATATTTTCTTTTCCACTGTGGTTGTCCATCTTTTGTTTTTCGCTGCTTTCTGTTTGAATTTTCATTGTAATGCAGTGCTGCTATGAAGGTCCTTGAAAGAGGAAATTTAGAACTATTACTGAAATATTGTCACGAATGACAGAGAGAGGCAAGGAGTAACTAAGGAAAATAATGTTTAATGGGGCGAACTAGTGCCCAAAACAGAAGAGAATAACAGTACGTCGCGAGCGTTGAATCTTGGCGCAACAGCTAGGACAAGTGCTAGCAATAGACTGACTGTCTGCAGCCACGGGTGCACTCTTTTATAATCATCGCGTACCGCCCAGGAAGTACTATGACTAGAACAACACAATGTACAAGCGAAAAATAAGGGGAACATGCCAGTTTTTTCTAGAATCTTCCAGAAACTAGATGAGGAATAAAAGAAAGAATAAAAGGCACTTCCGTGACTGCGGTTTTAACGCAGCACTGCCGCGTGAAAGCGGGGCACGCACTCCACTGCGCTACCTCGGCCACTTGGAAATACGGCAATATTAGGAAGCTCAATAATCCAATCCATACCTTGCAGCCATGATGGTGTACGAGTAGGCCACAGACTTGGGGGCAAACTGAATCAATGTCGAATGAAACGTCTCGACGCTAAACGTTTGACCCTCTGACGACAGCTGCTTGACATCTTTTAAAAAAGACTTTGATGCCAGAATAGTGGCCAGCCGATCGTGGGCATCAGTTCCTTCAAACAGAAAATGAAAATTGAAAATTCAACTTTCCTAGGGTAATCTGCAATTGACAAAGCATGCATTGGCTATTCTACCCACACATTCAGACTAAAATGCCTCAAGCACCACCACTCCAGAAGTACCATCAGTGGCAAAATATAGTTATTTGTTCCTACTTTTAGAATCCAATAACTAAAGATAACCGGCCTTCTCTAACTTTTATAAGAATTAGTACCTACAGCTTTACATAACTTCACTCCTACATTCACATGAAGTCCAAGGAATAATAGCATACCCACATTTTCCACCCCAGCTGATTCATAAGCATAGCTTCCGCATTGCCAAATACGCACTACCTCTTTCCTGTTTTACTGACTAGTTTCATTTGCATATCAGAATTTCTATTGAACAGAGTTAAAAGTACCACTCCTATCGGACACACACAAGCTTTCTTTTAAACCGATTGAAGATGTAAAAAAGAATAAACATTGAGGACAGGGACTGAACAACCACTTCTTTCAGGTAGCAACAAACAAATATGAAATTCCAAGAGCGAGCAGCAGATTAAAGGTGCAAAAAACCGAGGGAAGGGAAAATCAAAAGATAGACGGAAGGAAAGAGACAATAAGATAAAAACATAGTCAAGTTGACAGTGTCATCTCTGGTTTCAGAAATTCGACTTCAGTCTTCGTCAGGAGCAATGAGGGGGTAGAAACATTGTTTTTTACGCTGTGGATGGCAATCGCCTCTATGATTTACCGGCCATATCTGCTATTATTGCCCTCCGAAATTCGTGTATCATAAAAACAAGGGCTGCACCCAGTGTAAGATTGAGCGTGTGTGACAATGGGGTGAAAAGAATCGGGTGATACCCTGATTTAGGATGGGTCCCCATCCTAAATGTTTATTCTTTCTTACATCTTTGACCTCAAAACCAACACGCTTCTAGACCGTGTATTTCTTAGAAACAGCTTCAATTTTATTCAACCCTTCTCCAAGAGTGAAATCGCTTTTGAGCAAAGAAATTCTGGACATCATGTGGGAAAACCGGAGACTACGGTAATGGATGAGGGAAAGTCGAAGAAAAAGAGTCAGGAATAACCTTCTCTAAGTCTGGACCTTTGGAACCTGTATGTATCAGACCAATGTCCTGGCACGAGTTCATAATTCACATTCGAAAGTTCATTAAAAGCACCGGATATGCATGAACCATGTCTTCAAACAGTAATATCAGTATACTAAGGCCAGTAGTGCTATGCAGGCAAGAAAATCTCTGCACTTCTGATTATGCCGAAATCACCTGCCTTGTGTAATCCATTTTCTACGCTCAAGGGGGCCATGCTCGCAGGCTGGGAAGACCTCACTGTGGCCAGTGTGTACGTCACCGATGTGATTCAGCATTGACAACCACTTTGCCTGCATCAATTCTCCATCTCCTCCACTAGTGGCTGCACAGTGGTACAGATGTCTGGTGATACTTTTTGTCCACAAGCCAATTCTCTCAAAACCTTTGCGGTGGCTCGCAGCCATCAGCTTTTTTTTGATCCCTGAAAATTGAAGAAATTCATAGTGTACCTAAAATTATGTATTCCGTCTTACTTTTCTAGGCAGTTATAAGCATACTACTTTTAAGTAACGCTGTCTAAAGGTACGTCGGACGTATTTGGAACCCAAAGTCTATAAAGATGCGTCGGACGTATCCGGATCCCAGAATCTAAAGATACGTCGCACATACCAGGATCCCAGAGTCTGAAGATACGTAGGATGCACCTGGGACCCGGAGTCTTCGGGCGTAGCTGCGATTCACATTCAAGGTGTTCGGGGCACCAAGTAGTATGCCATATGCATCGTCGACCCTGAGCTCAACGGACTCGACCGGCTCAGCTGTCGAGTATTGAGAGCAATGCTCAAAAGAGAGTACGATACTTACAAGGCATAAAACGTGTGCCGTTTCCGGCCGTTTCCTTCTCTGGCAGTCGAAGTTTCGTTTCACGAGTTTTGAGTATGGTGCCTGGAGCGCGTCTCCGACTGGGGTGTTTACTGCATCCAGAAAAAGTGGTCCCTCCATTTCCGCCTGGTTACATCATAAAAGTGTCACGCCGTTGCCAGCTACGATCCTGGCGGCGTCCCAACAGCTGTGGTGTGTGTGGCAGACACCTGTTCTGCTGCAAGTCGCTCTCCACTGTGGAAGTCCACGGAGGCTTCAGCAGCCAGAAGCTGGGACACCGCGACGACAGCGACACTCCCGTTCGCTTGTGCTACTCGCAGCTTTTCGT